GACAAAGAAGGGGTCCAAATGGACATGACAGAGAAGAGAGTCAAAGAACAACTTGACAAAGAAGGGGGTCCAAAATGGACATGACAGGAGAAGAGAGTCAAAGAACAACTTGACAAAGAAGGGGGTCCAAATGGACATGACAGAGAAGAGAGTCTCAGAGAGCTAACAAGAACAACTTGACAAAGAAGGGGGTCCAAATGGACATGACAGAGAAGAGAGTCAAAGAACAACTTGACAAAGAAGGGGGTCCAAATGGACAGACAGAGAAGAGAGTCAAAGAACAACTTGACAAAGAAGGGGGTCCAAATGGACATGACAGAGAAGAGAGTCAAAGAACAACTTGACAAAGAAGGGGGTCCAAATGGACATGACAGAGAAGAGAGTCAAAGAACAACTTGACAAAGAAGGGGGTCCAAATGGACGTGACAGAGAAGAGAGTCCTTCAAGAGTGACTTGACAAAGCAAGGGGTTGCAAAGGAAAGAACGACTTGACAAGGAAAGGGGCCCCAAGCGGGCCCACAAAGCATCGCATGCATCTTGACAGAAAAGGGGGTCTCCAAGAACAACTTGACCCATAACCTTGAAACCTCAACTCTAAGAATAACCTAAACCCAAAAATCCCTAGACCCATACCCCCACCCTATATCACCCCAAAAATTCCTAAACCCTAAGACACCAACTTCGGAAATCCCCAAGCTCTAAAGGCCCAAACCCCCCAAACCTTTTCACCCTCAAATCCTCAACCCTGAAACCCCTAATCCCCAAAACCGCACATCTCATGAACCCAAAACCCTATGACGACCTTGTGGGTGACGCGTACGTTTGGTGGGTCTGTTGAAATTCGGGAGAGGGGTGGGGTGAGCGACAATTCAGCTTCGCACTTCCTGGCCCAGAAAACCAAAACTGCTTGCTTTCCACTAGCTTGGTCTTCCCAAACACTTGAATTCCGAAACCCGAAACTTGACTCCAGCTAGGAATATAAGATCACCAGCCTTGTCCCTGTGTTTCGGCAAGCAACCATTTTCCAGGGATACCAAATCCACATGAAGTATCTGAAGCCGTCAGGGGCGACGAAGTGAGTCCATGTTCGAGCAAAGTAAACATATAATATCATGTAATCTCACTTCCGCCCATTTGCTGGCCACTCGACCCGACCGCTCGAGCCGAGACTCCACGCGCCTTGCACCACCCGGCGGCGGCAGCCAAATCTTCTCGCCCCGTGCGTGCTCTATGTGTCTCTGTGTCTGTGTGTCTGTGTCTCTGTGTGTGGGGGGGTGGGAGGGTGGGGGATGCGGGTGTGTGTGTGTGTGTGTGTGCTCATGTGTTTGTGGTTGTGTTTGTTTGTATTATTATGTCTTCTTGTTTGTGTGTGTGTGTGTCTCTGTCTGTCTGTCTGTCTGTCTGTCTCTCTGTCTGTCTGTCTGTCTGTCCGTCCGTCCGTCCGTCTGTCTCTAATTTTGTATAGTTGTGGGAAAGTGTGTGTGTGTCAGTGTGTTTTGCGTCCTTGTGTGTCTGTGCGCGTGTTTCTGCGTATGCTCGTGGGTGTGTGCTCGTGAATAAGGAAGGCGATATAAGATACAAGCAAACAAATGTCAAGACTTAGGACCCACAAAGGTTAATACAGAGAAGCACACAGGGAATTGGAGGTGTGTTTGGGGTAATGGTGGCGGTGGCTGGCTGTTGAGTCGCTAAAACATGTAAAATATGCTGAATCAAGTCGGGCTTGCATGAACCTGAACACATTGCCCTTTTTGTTTAAAACATGAGGCATGCTAGCTATCTTGGCAATTTCCTGGCAAGCTCAAGGAACAAGTGCCAGAATTCTGTCCAACACACTGATGAACATGGCACACTTGTTTGGCTCAAAGGCCAAAGTTAATTCATTATATTAAATTATATGTGTTCATATATACGGCAATGCTTCAATGTGATCTCCAACCACTCTGATTCGAGCCGTCCGTTTCAAAGCATGGCATAGCTTGCGATGGCTGAGTGCCAGACAGCATGGCTGAATTCAACATTCACCATGTTTAGTATTGACTGAAAGCAGCTTGCTGCTGGGCCCTGAGCCCAGTACAAGTGAAGCTTGCAGCGGCTCAGGCTCAGAACCACGTCCCCCATGAACCACGGGAGGGGGCCAAATGCGAGAGCGCACGAGCATCTCTCCAAACCAATGCCACGAAAACGTTCGCTTTCACGAGCCCCGTCGTGTGAAGCTGTCGCAGGCACAAAACCTGGCCGTGCGACAGTCACTTCTGTTGCAAACTGTTGCAAGGACCTGGTGGTCCACTGCAAAAGGTGCGGAAGGATCCCTTATCCCTTGGTACCTGCTAACTATCGTGGCACCCTTGGACCCCATCCGAAATATAAGAAACACGTGGTGGTACTAAGGGACCCTCCGAGGTTGCTCAACAGTCTGAGAATGAAACGAGCTGACTTGGAAAGTCCGAACAGTAACACTCATTGGAAAGAGCCGACCTAGAAAAACCAACTTCACTGGGCAGAAGCCAAAAGATTGTATTAAAATATGGGCAAAACAACAGTCATAGAAAAATGGTGCTGGTTCGGATCAGTTCGCGGCCGAATCGAAGGCGCGGTTTTAATCCGCCCGGGCGGAGCTCGAGCTCAACCAGCGCCGGACTGACGCACGCGGAATGGCTAGGGTAACCGGGAAAATCTGGCTCATTCCAATCCTCGTGCATCTATTGAGCTTCCGGCTTTCGTCCAAAAAACAGGCCGGGGCCCTTAATGGATGCAGTTTTAAAAAAAAATATCATGGTACATGTAGAAACTCTTTGAAACAGCTTGTCAATGTTTTCTTCATTTAGACTGACGTCGAGCCCTGGGCTTGGTGAGCAAAATGCCAATCTGAACATCGTCAAGGCAAGCTTCATGTGGTAAGTCACCCAACTCAACGGCGAGCCGTTGGGCTTGGGAAAAGAATCAGGTGTCCAACTTGTACTTGTCTGGGTGCTCAATATAGAGGGGGCCTGGCAAACACAGAGCTAGATTGAATCCGGTATTGGATTTGAAGAGCCAAAGAAAACACTGAAGCCCAGTTTGGGCGCTGGATTTGTTGAACCCCGGGGTTATGACCAGTCAACTTGGATGAGTCAAAAGCCGCACCATCTTGTCTCATGGCTAAATTCAGGGGCCGGAAACAGTGAGAAACTGCCCGTGGTCTGGCTGTTTCCTGCATAAAGGGAAACTTCGAAGTTCGAGCATCCAGTTCAGACCTGGGCGGTCCAAGTCATACTGCCTAAGGATCCGGATGGTCCCCGAAAATTAGCTGGACCCCCACTTTTGATGCTACCTGAAGGGGAACCTGAAGCTAGCCAACGATTTCATGCGCCTGGGCTGGAAAGGAGGGCTGGACAATCCTCATCCAAAAGTGAGAAAACCACCACAAGAGCCAAAAATTCAAGACCCAATGACAAGAATTTGCCTTTGAAAAGCTCAACTTTCGAAAAGATGGAAGCCAACAACCCTGGTCCTATGGGTGTGCTCGTGCGAGTTGCAGCCGCTTCTTCCGGAAAACCCTTCGCGAGGCTTGGGATTGCCGGGGCTCTGACGCAGGCCAGAGCAGATCACAGCGGGATTGCTCGATTTTATCCTTGGCTCTTCTGCTGCTAAAGGTGTTGCCTGTCCTTCAGTTTTTGAAGCTGTGTCGCTTCCGCTAGTTGGGACACGTCCCCGTCCTGTTTTGAAGGCTTGCTTGATATATCTCCTATGTCCCTTTTGCTTTTTCGTGCTAGACGCCTACTGTCCTTTAGGCTCTTGCACTGGTTGCTGAGAAGCTGTCTGCTTGCTGGCCACCTCAGGCTGCTGCTTTGTCAATTAGGTTGGCTGCCGGCTCCGCTTTGTGCTTTGTGGTCAGGCTGCCCACGGGAAGGTTGCTGTTGATCATTGGTCTGTGGCTTTCTCTTGCTTGACGCCTCGCTGCTGGTGCCTGGTTGCTGCCTTGCACATGAAAACAAGGCTGCGGCCTGCAGCGGCAACACAAACAATGATCAAATCATGCGTGGCAACACAAGGCACTCCCGAGCCCTCTCAGAAAAACTCAGCGAGTCCACCAACCTGGCTAATCTGAGCGGACCGCTGTCCTACAATAAGACTTTCTGCGCCGAGCGCCTCCTGTGCACTATGGTAAACCATGCACTGGTCAGCCTGGGGGTCAACTTCAAGGCAACTTGTTTTTTCAGGAACTGAATGGACCAAGAAACATTGCGCAACTGGCACCCCCGAAACTCACCCTGAAACTGCCCCCAAGCCTACCCTAAACCGCCCTAATAGCCCACCAAAGTGTAAAACCCACCCCGCCCCAAAACCCATGCGAAGCCGACCCAACACCCAGCCTGAACCCTAGCATAGACTCGCCCTAACCCCACCCAAACCAGGCCGGCCCCCATCTAAACACCTCCCAAAAAGACACCAAACCTGCCTTAGCCAACCCTAAGCCCTGGAAGATTGTGGCAAGAATATCTTGCGACTACATGATAATTGCGACGTTCAGCAATCTCTGCAGACACAGAGCTGCATCTTGGGTGCACATTGGCTATCGGACCGCCTCAATGGCGGAAGCGACAGCCAGCGCCGCGGGCACAACGTCCGGTGTCCCTGGGCAAACGCGCGTGCTAGGAAGCAGTGCAAGGATTGGCCCGGGCCTGAAAGCAAAGCACGGCTTGCTGCTCCGGCCCTTGCCTTTCCCTTTTCCCTTGGCAAAGCATCGAGCATTTGAGTCTTAGCTGGAGGCACTCTCGGCCTTCTTTGGGGATGTGGGAGGCGGCGTGGGAGAGTAAAAGCAGGCGGACGAGGATGGCGTGACCTGCGTTTGGCTCCTCCCAACTCAAGCCTTCACCAATTCAAGTTCAACGTGCCAATGCTGGCCAGCAACTCTTTTCTGCCATGTTCTTTGCACCGCATTCCTTAAGGGCCATGATTGTCCTTCGAGTGAAAGCCCACCCCTGGCCACCTCACCAAGCTAGCAATAAATCAGCTCGGGTCACTTCAGCCAGGCGGAGAAATACAAAATGCAAAGGATCCTGTGACCTTGCCATCCTTGCCTCCTCCATCAGCTCTAAGTCCGAGGAGTCAAAGGGGTCCGCCTGGCGACAACAAGCGCGAAGTGAGGCCTAAGATCAGTACCCCGGCACGCCTGCGGCATCTCTTGCAGCTCCTGTTTGATGCGGAGCTCGCGTTCGCGATTCGCTGCTGCTGCTCGCTTGTCCTCTTCCTGCAAATGCCGAAGAAAATGCAACACACACACACACACCCACACGCGCAGAAGCAAACGCTGTCATTTTGCGAATGGACAACTGCAAAATCAAACCTGCGCCGTTTGACCTGCGCGACGTTGTCAAAAAATAGAGGGCGAGTGGCCCGAAAGCATGTTGCCGCCATACTTTGTCAACGGTCCTCCAGCCGCGATCTGAAGAATCTGCAGACTTGGCTCTGTGCAAGTGCAGCTTTGCAAGTATAAGTAGACTATGCAGTCTCGCGCTCCAAGATGCTGCCCGCATAATTTTATATGCAACTTGTTCTGCGCAAGTTGCTCTGCGCAAGTCAGCACGTTTATCTCTGTGAGCCTGCACGCATGTTGCCTTTTGCAAGTTGCCCTGCGCAAATTCTGTGTGCAAGATATATTCTTTGCAAGTTGGTGTGCGCAAGTTGCTCTGCGCAAGTCTGCAAGTTGCTCTCCGTGAGTGTTCCGTGCAAGCTTCTTTGTGCAAGTTGCGATGTTCCGTGGTAACGTTGCGATTTCCCAGCCGAAGCTGCGGGAAAACGCTTCGCGTTCCACATTTGTCTTCAAGGCTGTGATTTTCCCGCGGACCCGGCGGGGGTCGAGCCTGCACCGCGCAAGTACAAGTGCAGTCGCGCAAACCACGAGACAACTTCCAGGGACCAGCTCGCAAGCAGCAAAAGTAACAAAAATCGCGCGGGAGCGATTCGACAAGCAGCACGATCCCCGGACCACGCCAAGGGCATGTTGAAAAGTCGAAAAAGTCACTGTTGTTTGACGTCGACCGCCGATACCGGCAGAGGGTCGCGATGCCGTCCGCTGACAACAACCACACCGCCTTAAAGGAAGAATCTTGAGCTCTGTCACGCGCGGTTAAGAAGCTTCTATAAGGCAACTTAGCTATCTTGCATAGCTGCTCACGCCGAGCCTCTACGCAAGCTCTCTGCCCAAGAAACCCGGCGAAAGGTGCCCAACCTTTCACACTCAAGCTCTTTACCGAGACTCTTTACGCAGACGTCTCACACCCAAACGACTCACTCATACTCATGTTGCTCTGCGCAACTCCGTGCAGATGGCTCTGCGCAAGTTGCTCTGCGCAAGTTGATCTGTGCAAGTGGCTCTGCGTGCATGGCTCTGAGCAAGTTGCTCTGTGCAGATGGCTCTGTGCAACTAACTCTGTGCAAATGGCTCTGTGCAAATGGCTCTGGGCAAGTTGCTCTGCGCAAGTTGGTCTGTGCAAGTGGCTCTGCGTAAATAACTCTGGGCAAGTTGCTCTGTGCAACTAACTCTGTGCAAATGGCTCTGGGCAAGTTCCTCTGCGCAAGTTGGTCTGTGCAAGTGGCTCTGCGTAAATGGCTCTGGGCAAGTTGCTCTGTGCAGATGGCTCTGTGCAACTGACTCTGTGCAAATGGCTCTGGGCAAGTTGCTCTGCGCAAGTTGGTCTGTGCAAGTGGCTCTGCGTATATGGCTCTGCGCAAGTTGCTCTGCGTAGATGGCTCTGTGCAACTGACTCTGTGCAAATGGCTCTGGGCAAGTTCCTCTGCGCAAGTTGGTCTGTGCAAGTGGCTCTGCGTAAATGGCTCTGGGCAAGTTGCTCTGTGCAGATGGCTCTGTGCAACTGACTCTGTGCAAATGGCTCTGGGCTCTGCGCAAGTTGGTCTGTGGAAGTGTGCTCTGCGCAAGTTGGTCTGTGCAAGTGGCTCTGCGTAAATGACTCTGGGCAAGTTGCTCTGTCACCGCAGATGGCTCTGTGCAAATGGCTCTGTGCAACGCAAATGGCTCTGGGCAAGTTGGTCTGCGCAAGTTGGTCTGTGCAAATTGCTCTGTTGGTCTGTGCAAGTGGCTCTGCGCAAATGGCTCTGGGCAAGATGCTCTGTGCAGATGGCTCTGTGCAACTGACTCGGTGCAAATGGCTCTGGGCAAGTTGCTCTGCGCAAGTTGGTCTGTGCAAGTGGCTCTGCATAAATGCCTCTGGGCAAGATGCTCTGTGCAGATGGCTCTGTGCAACTGACTCGGTGCAAATGGCTCTGGGCAAGTTGCTCTGCGCAAGTTGGTCTGTGCAAGTGGCTCTGCATAAATGCCTCTGGGCAAGATGCTCTGTGCAGATGGCTCTGGGCAAGTTGCTTTGCGCAAGTTGGTCCCAGGGCTCCGCACGGAAGAGCCCTTCGGAACTTCGCGATGCTTTGGATGAAAAACCAACTTGACCAGACTTAGACACCTTCCAAAAGCTAACTTGCTGCTTGAAAGGGAATCTGAAGGAAACTCGCACGAGCAAACAAGCAATAAGGTTAGTTCAGTCCAGCAATGCCAAAAACTTGCATGGTGCCCGCGGCGTCCTGCTGCATCATCTCCCACTCCTGAATGCGCTCGCATAGCGAGTCCATGGCCTGCGTCCAAGATCGTAAGAGCGGTTCCAGCTGTCCAAAGAGGTTCTAGCCAAGAAGACTCTTCAAACAGGACAGTGCACTTGGAAGTTCATCCGACTTAGTTAATAAGCATGCAAGGATCATTAAGGCAAGCGAGGTTAGTCCCGTTTTGACGAACAACCTACTACCACTAAGTTGGATAGAATCTAGAAGTCCAGAGTACCTGTGACTGCGCCCGCAGCTGTGCCTTGTTCAGCTCGCTTTGCTCATCGATTTGCTGAGCATCACGCGTGACACGACTCCTCCTTGGCGCGGTCCAACGTAGCTGAAACAGTCAGTGAATTGGCCAAAGCTTCCGAGCGCCAGGCGAGAGCATCATGGTTGCAAGAGCGGCCTGCAGCGAAGCAGCCTTCTGAGAATTCATGATGCATAATCCTGTTATTTCCTGCTGATTGAAGATTCACTGGTGTTAGGGCGTGCGAACCATGCTGCCACCAAACCGGCTAAGTACGCAACCTTGTTGTGTCGCATACACGTAAACACAAACGGATATATGCCCACACAATAATTACATGTGAATACATGCGTCTACGACCTTTACACGAAACATATGAGTCCATACTGAGCTACTGATGTGTATGCTGCCATTCTCCAAACTCCGGCCAAGCTTGAACAATCCGAAAGTTCACCAATGCCCAAAGTACTCAAATCCATATCTGCTGCAGTTTTGTTGAAACTCAAACTTGGCGTCCTACATGCTTGGCCATATGTTATTGTAGCTGTGTAAGTTGCACTTGTTGCGTTCTATTTTCAATGGACTTGCAGTGCACATTTGGAATTGAGACGGCTAGGACGGAAGCATTTGGAGTCAAGCACATGCGCAGCATCTTGCAAACTTCTGGTTTATGTCTGGCATTCTGCGCATTTGCAAACTGTACATATCTGACCACTTGACGGTAGAACATGTCCATCACAGTTTGCCATACGCCGATTGCATTAGCAGAACCACATTCCCAGCACATGTCTAGCATACATCTATTTCAGTTTGAGAAGTCAAGGGGACGCCTCGTTTGACTCGAACGTTTCTCCAACAAGCACCCAACTTATCACATGCCTGCATGTAGCCAGCGCGTATCCAGCAAAGTAGAGCCATTTGCCCGGCAAATTCCACGTAAATATCTAGCTGTGTTGTGGAATGTGTCTTACACAGTGGCCTCTGCTGTACGTCTGCGGCCACGGGAGCCAGTGATCTTGTTTAATGTGACTGCTTGGGGATCTTCTTTCATGTCAAGCCTTTTTGTGGTGAGGAAAATCTGAATCTGGTAATACTAAATTTAGATTAAGCAATGCTAAAGTATGTGCTGGGAATCTGAGAATAAGTTCTAGCAATACTAAATTTGGACTTGACAATACTACATTCAGCACGAGGAATCTGAGAGTAAGTCTCAGCAATACTAAATTTACAGTTGGCATTGCCAAAGTAAGCACCGGACTGTTCCCGCTGTTGCGCGGAAAGGAGGGGTCACATTCAACAACCTTTTGCCTGTCAGAAATCATTCGCATACCTGGGGGTGGCCTGCAAAAGGTGGGATGCACCTGCACGATGCACTGGCATCACAAGCCACATCTATCATCTCTCACGCAAGTCTGCATGTGTAGAGCAGGCTCCATGCACAAGCACATGCTATTCACACATATCTTTGCTTCCCACTCTCTGCGACACTTACGTTCTTCCAAACAACTCCCAAACAGATTTGAACATTTCTGTAAAGCTCCCACATATGCTCCGCGCTCTGATGCAGTTGGGCAAACTATCAATGAAGAAATCAATGTGGCTGGCAAAAGTGCTGCAACATATGCATGCATGCATCAATACATATTCTGTACGTGTGGATGTCTGCGCTTATGCAAGCATCTTTTCAACGACCCAATTTGAGTCGCATTGAGTTGCGGGATTGTTTTAACGGAGGATCCCTTGCATTTCCGACCGAACTGGCACGGTCCTGCTCAGCTCTCAGAATCTCGATGTCGGCGTGTAGTTCCTTGTTGGCAAACACCCATGAAAATAGAAAAAGAACACAACCAGGATATCTTTCTTTCTCTTTCTCTGTCTCTCGCTCTCTCTCTCTCTCTCTCTCTCCAGCCCATGGTTTTGCAAAATGCCTAAGTGTGAGGAGGTGTGAGGAGCAAGTGTAGAAGCCTGGACGTCCCAGCCGTCTACTTTGGCTAATTGGGCAACTCCAGCGAAACTTCTCAAAGCACCTTCTATAACACGTCTCAGCGCCAGAGTTCCCACAACATTGCAAGGGTGCTCTAAGTTTACCCTGGCTGCTGGCATTGCTCAAACAAAATCTAACAAAGTTGGAACATAAACAGCAGAGCGAGAACTCTGCCTCTACTCACCTGATATGCACCAGCAATTGCTTTACTGTGATGCTTCAACCTTGGTTTACCAGCCGACTTGCTTCCAGGAGGTTTTGCCGGACTCAATAAAGACCTGACCTTTTTGCATCCGTTGTCTATTGCATGAAGACTTCCTTCTCGCTCTTTGAACACTTGCTAGCCCACAGTGCCACAATGCCATCATTGAAGAAGGTGTATGGCAACTGGCCAACGAAGAGCTAAGCCAACCACAGCCAAACAACGTCCAACCACTGAGCTACGACCCATGAACAGTACGGATGGCTGAGGTTGCTACGGCAGGCAACGCAGCAAGCGAGCTGGTCATTGCTAATGCCAGTTCCATGGCAATTTCCTGGGCCGCGACAAAAGATTCTTGGAAGCAACCAGCCATTGCCCAATGTGTCCATCCGTGCCACTAGGAGCCTGACACGGGTGATCGACACACTGTGAGCGACACGTCCAAGCAAAACTTCTGCGCAAGAGCAATGTTTTCCTCTCACACTTGTGGGTGACCCTTCTGAGCAACACCTCTAGGCCATGCTTCTCAGCAAGCATGTCTGTTTGACACTCCTGAATGCCGCGTCTAGAACACACTTCTCTGCCATATCGGACGCGACGCTTTCAAGCGACACGCCTGAGAGACAGCACAGCGAGGCCTCTCAGCCACACGTTGGAAAGACTCTTCTGGTCGACGCTTTTTAGCACCACTTCTGCACAAATGCTGTCGGGTTATGTCAGGTAGCTTGCCATTCAACTTCATGTCCTGGCCCAAGACTCACAGAGAGCCATCACATGATCGCACTATTGGGTGTTCCTTTCAGTGTACCACCCCTCAATCACAGATTAGCTTGCCCCTGGCTCTCTGTGGACGCTGACCATTTCCGGGACTCAAATTTTAGGAAACACCTCGGTGAACAAGCCCAGCCCAAAGTCGCCCAAAAAATCCTCCTCAAATGGACCTGCGCACGGTGGCACCCGGCAACTGAACCTGAAACGTGAAGGCCCCGCTGTAACACCCTTCCTTGCTTTAAACCGAAAACCACCTGTGGCCTCGATCGTCCACCCTCTGAGGCCTCCGGAAGCCGCTCCAGCAGCGCGGCGACCTCGCTGGTCTCCGGGCGGGCGTCGGCCTGCCAACCCATGTAACACTCCATAAGAACATCAACTTGTCAATGAATCAAGATGTTCGTCATTGTTCGTCTTCAAGCCTCTGTGCAAAGGAAAGCGGCGCAGCCCACTTGGTCCACAGTGGCCGGAGGCCATTGGGCACGCCGGTCAACCTTGGACTCCAACACAAAGAACGCGTCCGGCGCGTCCGGTTCCACGCTTTAGGAACCCGACGGCGGGGCCCAGCTTCTGGAGGCCTGGGCGCCCCCCGCTGCGTCACGTTAAGCCATCTTCGTTTGAGCCTGGCTATGAGTCCGTGACTGGAATTTCAACTGCCCCTTCTTGTTCACGACCGCCGGCGGCTTCCCGGTCAAGATCTGGGCACACGCGATTCACGCATGCAACTGCCAACAGCCCTACACAAGCCTCCAGCAAGAGAATGACAACGGAGTAGACGTTGCAGGATGCAGAATAGATGCCTGCGCGTAGACGCGAGCCCTTCCGATTTCGTGGTTGGGGGGATGGGGTATAGTCAACTTTCTACAATCAAAGCGTCAATGTGTGAACCCCTGGCCTGAACCCTTGCTTTTTGGCCCAATCAACCACTAGCTATGGCTTGATTCAGGGAACAAACCACAAAAGGGAGCCAATTCAGCCTTTGATACAAGGATGTTCTGATGCTTGTCCCGTGCGCTTGTCAAGCCACTCAATGCGCTGCAGAACTGCTGTCCGTGTCAACAGTACAGGCATCAAGCCTGTCTCCAAGAAGCCTGGGTCGACGTATCCAGCTGTGCCAGCTTTGGAATGCACCTCATAAGTTGGAATGCCCAAGTGCCACAAACTCCAAGTTCAATCGGGCCGGCATGGGCTGGCCTTGCCCCTGCCATCCCCGTTGATCAGGCAGTTCTGAGAGTTCATATCCTCAGAGCGCATCATCGCTTCTGCAGCAGGCGTTCGGGGTCGAAAGCCGGGAGCCGAACACAGTGGAACACCTAGCGTTACTCGCGTTGTGAAGTCGCTCAATCAAACCACGCTGATGTGAACTCACGAAGCGTGCGGCAGCTTGCCTTGGGGTCCAGGCCGCGCATGTAGCACAGTGCTCCAACCTGTGATTGCGCTGCACACTCAAGGCGCTTTCTGCGGCCTTTCCTGAGACCCTGGCACAATCTGCGAGGACTTGCAATCTTCCTTGCCAGGTAAACCTGCGAAGAAAGAAACAACAACCCGAGAAAGGCACATGGGACATTGAGCGTGAATGCTGCATGCGCGATCTTGACCTAACGTCTGGCATAAGGAAAGATTCCGCGGCGCCTTGAATGTCTCATGGCACGGTACAGGTCCGTGTGCGCCAACTCCATGACCATGTACACAAACTGCCTGACAAATCTGGAAAAAGCGGAGCCTTTGCCGGCGCCATTCACCATCTGCCGATCCGAGACAAAGCCCATCATGTGGATGATGCCCAGGTGGCTGAAGCGCTCCAGGATCTGGCAGTCTGGGAGAACGGGGCAAGTCTTCAAGGTCTTCAAGCCACATGCCACATCCGGACCCCTCGACCCCTCAACCCCTCGACAGCGCGACCTCCGCTTCGTTCTTTGCCGAGCTGACCTGAAGCAGACGCAAGACACCTGCCAACAAGCAAATGCTGCGTCCGCACCTTGATGAAACATTTTTTCTGGATGGAGCGGAGGATTTGGCTGCTGGCACCCTGACAGGCAGCAGTACAAGCATGTAGCAAGTCGGGTCACGCGCCTCTGCCACCAGGGTAAGGCCACCAACCTACTCGCCAATGCCAGCAGCTCATAGCTCTGACGCCAGGCGCCTCGATGATGTCGAGCAGGTCCCTGAAGCTCCAGCGGGATTTGGAGCCGGAAGTAATTATGGATGGAAGTATGGATTTGGAGCACGACTAGTACGGCAAGCCCCAAATCTCGCTCTCTCATCTCCGCGCGTGCTTCTGCCTCGGGCCCAGCCTTGATCCAGAGTCGGCACTTGGGCACTTGGGGACTTGGGCACTGACCCACCACCAGGTAAGCGAGGCGAGGATGGGCGCAGCCACTGCACCGCACAGCGCGGCCTAAGTGGGCGCATGGCTTTGGCACGGCTTTGGCTCGGTCTCAGGGCAGCGCAATGGCGCCGTGTGACGCTGCTGGCGCCTCGGGTGAAGTCAGAGCCCCGGAGGCAACCTACCTCCCTGCTCTGGAGCAGCAGTTTTCAGCCCGAACTTGGCAACCTGTGCTGAAATCTCTCCAGCCCATGTTTTGGCAAGATGCCAAAGTGTGAGGATGTGTGAGGAGCAGGCGTAGAAACCTAGAGGTCCCAACCGTCTACTTTGGCCAATTGGCAACGAAACTTCTCAAAGCTCCTTCTACAACACGTCTCAGCGCCAGAGTTCCCACAACATTGCAAGGCCGACGTGCTCTAAGTTTACCCTGGCTGCTGGCAGTGCTCAAACAAAATCTAACAAAGTTGGAACATAAACAGCAGAGCGAGAACTCTGCCTCTACTCACCTGATATGCACCAGCAATTGCTTTACTGTGATGCTTCAACCTTGGTTTACCAGTCGACTTGCTTCCAGGAGGTTTTGCCGGACTTAATAAAGACCTGACCTTTTGCATCCGTTGTCTATTGCATGAAGACTTCTCGCTCTTTGAACACTTGCTAGCCCACAGTGCCACAATGCCATCATTGAAGAAGCCCTATGGCAACTGGCCAACGAAGAGCTAAGCCAACCACAGCCAAACAACGTCCAACCACTGAGCTACGACCCATGGACAGTACGGACGGCTGAGGTTGCTACGGCAGGCAACGCAGCAAGCGAGCTGGCCATTGCTACTGCCAGTTCCATGGTGATAACCTGGGCCGCGACAGAAGATTCTTGGAAGCAACCAGCCACGGCCCAATGTGTGGAGCCTGGCAAGGGCGGTCAGCACACTAGGCGGTAGTGAGCCCAAGACGCTCCCGGCAGAAGGGCCAAACTCTCACCTGCGTGTCACCTGCATAACCATGACTGTGACCACTTCTAATCGACACGCTCTGAGCGACACGTCCGAGTTAAACTGCGCAAAAGCGATGTTTTCCTCTCACCACACTTGTGGGTGACCCCTGGCCGGAAACTCAGCTTGGCCCGTCTCAGCTCGCCAGAGTACTCTACAAAGGGCACCCTCTGCAAAAGAATGACTTGGCAAAAAAACGGGTGCCACAAAGCAACGTATCATTTGACAAAAAGAGGGGCTTGAAAAAGGGGGGGGGAAAGTGACTCGGCAAAACAAGCGGGTGCCACAATACGACATAACAAGGAAGGGGGGGCAAAAGGATGACGTGGCATAAAAGCGGGTGCCACAATATAACGCATCATTGACAAAGAAGGGGGTGCAACCGAATGAGTTGGCAACAACTCAGGTGCCACAATTCAACGTATCATTTGACAAAGCGGGGGGTGCAAAAGAATGACTTGGCCAAAAAGCAGGTGCCACAATACAACGCATCATTTGACAAAGAAGGGGGTGCAAAAGCATTGCTTGTACAAAAAAGAGAAGCAACTGGTCCGCAATACAATGTATCTTTTGACAAAGAAGGGGGTGCAAAAGAATGACTTGACAAAAAAGCGGGTGCCACAATCCAACGAATCATTTGACAAAGAAGGGGGTGCAAAACAAGAAATGTCCAAAAAGAAACCGGGTGCCACAATACAACTTACCAATTGACAAAGAAGCGGGGGCAAAAGAATGACTCAGAAAAATAGGCGGGTGCCACAATACAATGTATCATTTGACAACGAGGGGAGGGGGGCAAAAGAATGACTTGGCATAAAAGCGGGTGCCACAATACAACGTATCATTCCCAAAGGACTGCATTAGCTGCCGCAGACTGAACACACTGCACTCAATGACCCTGGCAGAATGACTGCATACCCGTCTGCAAAAGCCATGGACGCGACCATGGAGCAGCCATCAAGAAGGCCATTCGTCTTCTTGCACTCAGGGGACTCAGGGGAAGTGGCAGCATGATGGGGGGGCTTCCTGTGGTTGGGGCTACCATAAAAACATCCAAGCACCAAGCGAGTTGTGGAAGATCCTGGCCACGGGAGGCAAAAACACTCAGGCAGACTGATGGCTTGACAGCATCACGGAAAGGCCCCGCTCCAAGCAAAGACTGCCACGCATCACACATGGAGCCATGACGCTCACGGGGCGGCCGCATGGGCAAATCCTGATTGGCGCCCTTGTGGCAAACCAACCAAAGAACGCAGAAATCCTCCTACAAAGGCGCTCCAATGCAAAAAGCAACCTGCAGCCACCTCACCGTTCTCCGCATTCCCATTGGCCAAATTGCTTGATCAGCACACGGCCTTTGCCAAAAGGACCCCCGCTGGGTCCCAGCAAAACCAAACACGCGCACTTGCATCCCAAACCCTAAGAAATATGACGTGAACTGGGCATCCCAAAAGGAGCACACCTCCGTTCCGGAACCTGCATCTTCGGCTATGAAACCCGGGATCATGTATATCCATGCCTGTTGAATTTGGGGGGGTCCGGTCCCACTGCCCAAATCTTTGGAGCATTCGACGTCCCGTAGCGAATGTATTGCACTCCCAGCTATCCCCTGCCTACAGCACAGAGCCCAGAGATTTTGGAAGGTGATAGAGCCATTTGACTTTCCGGAAGGAACAGGGAGCGTCATCTAGAGGAGGCGACACCCGTGAACCCCAAATGTTAAGGATAACGCGAGCAAATAAAGGCTAGATATCAAGGACGCCGACCAACTTGAGAGTACAAGGAGATGCGGCCTGAAATGCGTGGATGCGGCACAAATAACGTGCAGAAGCGAAGGCGCGTGCCAGGCGAATGCTAGAAGAATTGCTGCAGCTCAGCGTTCAAAACAAGAGGCGCATGCTTAGTGGGAAGTCCAACAAAGATCTCCTAACACCTGCAAAGCCAATGGAATAAATGAATTCCAGACAGATGCTAGACCCAAGTCTCCCCAAAGAGCCGAGTGTCGTCCTGAGCCATCCCAAGCAAGAGGTGGATGCTTCGGACAGAATGAACATCACCCTCCGCAACCTTCCAAACGTTCAATTCCAAGAAGGAGACTTTCAGTGGATACGACAAGAATCCCCTGAAGCATTGACACCCGGAGATGCGCGCTAGTGTAATGCCGGTCTCAAAGCGTCCGCCTGCTAAGCTTCGTTTCCAAACATGCACCAAAAAAAGGCGATGCTTGGTGGTGCAACGGCACTGTGAATGCAATGGTCCATTTTGGCCAAAACAGGCAAACACAACGTAATCAACGTAGGCGAACTTGGGGGAAGTTGCATTGCTCGCATTCAAATCCATTCGCAAGCTGACCCCGAGGCAAGCCGTATCCAGTCCTGCGAACTTGCAAACACCGCCCTTTGTGGATGGAATGATTCGGATTGCAACGCTTGATCCTGGCAGGCGCCCCAGTTTCTGCCCGCATTTTTTGTGTGAATGATCTCCCTACATCGTGGGCCAGGTGCGGCGAAGGCGAAGTTGACGCGGCGATCAGCCGGTCACACGAGCTCAAAGTGCTGGAAGCACGCGGCGCGTCTGATGAATCAATGTGTTTATCATCCGGAGCCATCATAAACATAGTCAATGAGCTAGGGACTCGATTCAAGACTCAATAAAAACCAAGGTGGTGCTCTTGCTTACTTCCCCGATTATTTTCTAGTTGCGGCGCCTTGGCGCCAGCGCATCAAACCTGTGAGGCTTTGCAAAATGGCCTCCGAGAGTCCACGAAAAGTTGCGCAAGCAACACAGAAACAACATGCTATATTTCAACGAGATGTGGAAGGTCACCCCGCTGAAGCTCTGTAAGGATTTGTTAGGTTGTTTTTTCCAGACGTAGGTTTGGGTTTAGGGTCAACACGGATCGAAGTTTTGGCTTGGGGACAACAAGTTTAACACAGTTGTGGGTTTGGCCGCTGTACCTGCGGCCAAAAAAAAAAAAAACGGCCACGTGATCTACGGTCCGAGAGAGCACTGTCTGCTGAAAGAGCCCAACTCGGATGCCAAGCTGTGGCCAAGCCGAAACGGCAGATGAGACTGTGCATCAACGTCTCAGGTGAAGCTACCACCACGCTTGCCTCTGCAAGGCTACAGCAGCTGTCTCACGTGCCGCCGACTGCGCTGGGACCCGGAATGCACGTGTTGATCCCCAATATATGGCACAAGCTGGAAACTGACAATCCAGCCGTGACAAAGAGTGCCAGAGTGTTGCATGTGTCCCCGCCCTCATGTTTTGCCCCAAATGGAAAGCGAATTGAACAGCGCTTGGAGGGCAATTCAAAAGCTATGTTAAGCAATTACGCATTAGTCATGAATTAAAGCAGAATACAAATCAGCAATTGAAACCAACAGAGAAGCCAATATGAACGCCAATGAAGGTGCTGAAGTTATGCAAGTACTGTAATTAAATCAACAACAGCAGAAAAACCAGTTTTAATTACTGTCAGGACCACCACCACATCCAGCACCGGCACATCAAGCACCTGCAGCACCTCCAGCAACTCCACCACCTCCACCTCCCGCATCTCCACCATCTGCACCACCTCCACCATCTCCACCATCTCCACCACCTTCACCTCCACCTCTGCCATCTCCACCACCTTCACATCCACCTCCACCACCACCAAGCATCAGCAGCAGCAGCAGAGACAGCAAACGCAAGCATCATAAATTCTTGTCAGCCGCCTTTTTGCGGCACCGCTTCCATTTTCAAGAGGGTGCGCCTTAGTGCCTTTTGCTTCTCGTCACCATCCTTCTGCTCTTCTAGATGGCGGCCAGCCGCCTGAGGCTGCAGAACAGTGCAAATCAGCTGGACAACAAATCTGCTCTACCACTGCTTTGTGGCCACCTCTGGTCAGACGTATGCACTGACGTTGCCCCAAAAAACCAGACGCAATCCCTCCTGCATGGAACTAACATGAAGGTCTCCACAAATGGTGACTTTCAAGATCTTGCAGAGGAAACAAATGTACGTGATGAAAGAGGAGAAACTGCATGCTGCTGCAATCAAAGATTATGTCGGTGTCCGATTGCTCAAAGTAGTACAAATACATAAGCTCAACTCCAAAAATACCCCCTACCCCCAAAATGCAAAGGGGCATTTACTACAAAATGTGCTTTGCCCGCGGGCAAAATGCGGCTACGGTCCAACCATGCGACAGCCCTGGCCTGTAGAGTCCATCTCTTTCTTTAGAGTTCACCTGTTTTTGGCCTCTGAGTTCTGAGCAACTCAGAAGATCTCTGCAAATCACACCCATCCCCCCACATTGAGCAAGCTGGCAAAACATTTAAGGGATCAGATTGGCCTGTCCCAAGTTTAGAATTTGTTTTAGCATTGCTTAGTATCGTTTTGGGGGTTGGTATTGGTTGTATAGTATTGGTTTACTATTGTCTCAGTACTGCTTGGTGCTTTCTTAGTGCTGTCTTAGTATTGGGATAGAATTGGCTTAGTATTTTGTGCTGCCCTCGCACTGGCTTAGTATTGGTTTGTATTGGCTGTATTGGTTTAGAACTGGCTTAGTATTGGTTTGATAGTATGTTGTTTTTCCGGCCCGGAACAACAGTTTCTCAATTGGGTACCCCTTTTGATTTTATTATTTAGAGATTGGGGCCGCACTGAGGAAAATACAGGATATGTAGTGGGGGGGGGCCCTTTATTAAACAGTCACCCACATTAGTCTCCGTCGCTGTAGGGAACATGCCGTGTAATTCATCCAATCAAGCAGGTGGTTCCGCCCATCGCTTTAAAACATATGCCCTGTGATTTATCCCAGCAGCAAAAATGATAGTGGCTGATAGCGTTCAGTGCCCGAGGGGGCACGCTATCGGGGCGCCGCCAAAAAAAAAACAACATTACAGCTTTCGTCAATTTTAGGAAGCCATCTGAGTGACCCCAGCCCCACATAGCGTCCGTCGCGCAGGCGTTGGTGCTTGCTATTCGCACGGCTCCTGGGAGTCCAGTAGCTAAACCCCGTCGCGTCTCCAATCAAAGCCCCGACATGTGACATTTTGGCTCTCAGAAGATCTCAGGCTTCATGAGCAGCTGGACTTTGATTCAGGTCAGCGAGCGACTTGGCTAAGCTGTTTTGTTTCATGGGTATGTCAGCGGGCCTTTTACAAAGTGCGCATAACCCGATGCTGGCCAGGGTTGCTGGCAAGCACATGATCAGGCACCAAGTTGTGTAGAAAGGAACAAAGCAGAAGTGAATACTCAAACAGGAGACCCCTTTTCGGGTGGCACTAAAAAAATAAGCCCAAAAAAGGGCGCCCCGAAAACAAGTGGAGCAAAGAACAAGGGTGATGATTGCCATGATGCATTCACCTAAGCAACCGAGACAAGTCAACTCGAACTTTGCTCATGTGTCTGGTCGCCAAAAAGCTCCGGCAAACAGCTCATGTGCCTGCGCAAGTCCTGCGCTGATCGTTTTGCTGCGGAGAAAAAGGTTGCAGTTGAAAAGATAATGTCTCTGTAGTTGCGTTGAATGCCTGTCTCAGATTGGCTGCTTTGCGTGCTGACTCTGACATGACATTGCTGCCCGGGCTTGTCTGTGTCAAATCTGTGTGTCTGGCCGACACCGTTGTCGGAACGACATGCTCAAGACTGAAACGTGACTCCGCCGTGCTTCACACAGGAACATGCCTAGCTGCAATGACCGACCCTGCTTGCCTGCAAGTTCGAAACAATAAGCTGCAGGCAAATACTGAACAAAGGAACCAGGTTTAAGTGCCACACACTTTTGTTCCATGGGCATCCTGTCAGCTGCAGCCCTTCAACCTGAAACTCGTCAAACACCCAAGACGCACCTCAGTTTGCAGCATTTCTTAACTAACATGAAGTACACTGGTCTGTAAATTTGTCCCTGACCAACAAAGGGAAAACAAAAGCGGATGCTCGCATGGACGAGGGTATCGGTTCTTGGCGCGTCCCTGGCTTATGTAGGTTTGATGATAATTTCAAGCTGAGTCATGTTCAATCTTCACTGATCCCTTCATCGATACATTTGCCGCGCGCAGGACTGCAGGCTCAACGCTTTTTCAAGTCATAGTTGCTCTTGATCCTGCTTCCTCACTCAGAGGGTCTTGTCGGCGTCTACGACCCTGCAACAGCGGAAGTCTCCCAACCCTTTCTGACGCCCGGCGACTGCAGCCTGAGCGACAAGTGAAACGACAAGCTTTCTTCTTCTGAAAACTGCGGCCCGCCAGTGCAACGACTGTCGTTCTCTGGCCTTCGCTGTTGGCTTCAATGGATTCCATCCAACCTCAGAGGTTAGCACTGGATGCCAGATGCAACATCGAAGCGATGCCAAGTCAAAATAAGCCAGCAAACAACAGCAATAGACATTGCCTGGGCTCCAGACATGTTCCAAGCCGTGTCTTCCTCTGCACACCGCCTCAGAACATGTTGCGAACTCAGTCCATATTGAATCTCAAATCACATGCTTATTAGACAAAGTCTCATGGCAATTCCGTGGAAGGTCACAAGTCAAGGAAGCTTCAAGTCTTGCAATGGAATCGTTCACGCAACCCGGCTAGGCCAGATTGAGCACATGTCAGCACAACCAGTTCTAATCTTCGCTCTGATGTCAGTCCCCTCGGCGCGATCAGTGCTCAGCGCCAGGCGAGGAGCCGGCCTCGCAAGATGAAGACATGGGGCGACTTTTGATGCAGCGGTGAGGCTAAGTGCCATGGCCTGGAGCTTCCGTCTCAGGATCGCGGAGCAGTCCGGGTGTTGAAGCGCCTTCTCGGCACGCTCCCGCCGTGCCGCCAGCGCTCGCCATGATGCCTGAGATAGAGGATGACAACAAGGAATGCATGGCATTGAATAAGATATCAGGCTACAAAACATTGACCTTCAAAGAAGCTTGCAGTCCTCACTGCTCAGCACATCTCAGCACCTGACCCTCCCAGCTCCACATAGCAGCAGCACATGCCTGTCCCAGCAGGCTTCGCACATGTGGCCCATGGCAACAGCCACTGCAACAAAAGAGGCCGAAGTGCGGCCGAAGGGCCTCCAAAGCCACCATGCGTTCAATGGGCTGAGCAGACTCCAAACAGAACGCCTTTGAAGCCGAAATGACTGCCAACAAGGTGTCACTGCGACACGGCGAGCTGTGATGAAGCAACATGCCAGTAGCACAAAGCTGCAGAATGAGTCAATAGATCCAACATGAAAAGCTGTCTTCTCTCAAAAAGGCCGATTCTCAGCAAAACAAGGTTCACGTTACGGGGACTGGCAGTTGGCTTGCCCCACTCGCACTCTCTCTTTCACAGCAACGTAAAACTCGCATCATCACTACAGAAACAAAACACAGCTCGCGTACCTCTATCGGGCAAACAACATCTTTCTCTCTCTCTCTCTGTCCCTCTCTCTGTCAAGCTCTCTTTTCATCTCACTCGGGCTCCAAGTTGTCCGTTGCCTACAGTACCGGGCATGAACTGAGTTGGCTGAAACTAGCCCTCAGCTGTGGAACAAACGCCAGTAGGAGGCCAAAAGTTCAATTTTTGTTGCGCATGCAGCGCAAGAGACACTGCTCCACGGACCGTAGAGCGGACAAACTGTTCTATGCAAAAAAAGATGGTTCAAACGTCAACGTCGAGGGTTGTCTCAAACCGAACCGCCACACCCTAAACCCTAAATCCGAAGGACCGCCAAACCACAGCTAAAGCCACCTACCCCTAAACCCGCAGAAGCTGGAAACATGTCTCAAAAGTAGAATGCCTGGAAGCCTAAGCGCTTTGGTTGAAAACTACCTGTCCTCTGTCAAACTGGTCGCTCCTTTAGACAGGGGAGTGGACTCTTGAAAGACTTGTCGTCGACTGTCTGAAGCACATTTCAAGTCGCCAAGGCACTGGCTCGGCTCAGCCAGCTCTGTCTGCGGGCCTCCAATGCATGTGGATCCTTCATCGCAATCCTGCGAAGAGAAGATTCCTGCGTTGTCCAGCAGCTTGTTCTTGAAAGCGGAGAAGTCTTTGTTCTTGAACGCGCCTCTGCTCACGGCAGCTGGCACATGAGGAAGCCCTACGCCGCGTTGGTCCAAAAGCAACACCAGGGCCCCAAACCGTATTATCCATAAACGAATCCTAAACCCTAAAGCGTGTCTCTTCTAAACTCTAAACCGCCTTGACCCTAGGTGCCGTGAATGCCGTACTTTCCAGCGCATTTTCTTGCAAGGGGAGCTCAAAGTAGGGCAAAGGGATCTCAGAGTGAGTATCTGCCGGAACACAGCAAAGAAGATCCTTGGTCCTTGCAGTAGTTTGAAACGTGACTCAACAGGTCTGACAGCTTGTACCCTTCGCAGTGTTTAAGAAGCCCGAGTTTGTCATGACATGTCCTTTGTGACTGTTGGCATTTCTTTTTGCGTGACCAGGCGCTACTGGCATTTAGTCCATGGACACGAGTAGACATTGGGCGCGACGAGCCGTCAGGCAACCCGGTGCCCCAAATTGTCCGAACACGAGAGCCAAAACAGAAGGTTCCTCAGATTGAGAAACAAGCCACAAAATGCAGGCATCGCCGGATGGTTGTTCAGTCACGCAAGAGCTTGATGGCGCACTCTTTTACGCCAACCTGTTCCTCGAACCTTGAGCGATGTCTGTTGAACAGCGGGCATCCATACTTAGCCTCTGGATTGAGAGCTTTCCAAGTAAGGCTGGTTGAAGTCATCAAACATGCACCTTTTGCACATGGCCTGAGCACTGGCAGCCCATCTCCCAACGCACACAAAGTGAGCGCAACTGGAGATGAGGGCTGATCAATGCGACTGCAGCGGGAAACAGGAAGCAAACCGTCCAACAGCCGTGGCAACCATTTAACCTTGTCTCAAGGAACTTGTGAAACCTACAGTGATGCAATGTGAGTGTTCGCTATGGCATATCGATTCTTGTGACGACTGCACAGCTGTGGCTTGAGGACGACACAGATTGGAGGAAGCTGTAGACCTCAGGCATCCGAGTGGACCATGAGCTACGCTTCCTCTGAGGATTCCTCGTTCTTGCCTTCACGTGGGACGGCGAGGCAGGCTGTGCGTTCCAAGAGCATGTGACAAGAAAAGTGCTTTGCAAGACCTGGGGCAGGCATTGCCACGGCCGCATGCTTCGGGCAACAAGCGAGTCAGGGCGCTGGAATTTAGAGCATGCCGCACAACCGTGCTACTCCAGAATGCCGCGTTTGAGCTGGCATCGGCGCCAGTTAGTGCCGGCACAAAATTGTGCCGGCATTTGCCCAAGCATCTGCTTCTCTAGCTCCTGACAAGCGTTCCTCCCTTTGCTTCCTTGACGCCCCTCAATCATCAGCCGTGTTTCAATCTGTAGGGTGGCAAACTCCCACAGTTGCGCGGAACCGTGAACAGCTCTCTCTTTCTCTCTCTGTAAATATTGAAACTGTCTCGTTTCAAGATGTCATGCGCTCGTGGTGCGTACCATGTCGTGCACAAGTGCCGCGTGTGGCGCATTGCCGCCGGAGAGGACGCTGAAGCATATCGGTTGCCAGCTCCGTCAACTTTTACACAAAAGCTGCTTTAGCCAACTGAGTACAACGTATCACATGACGAAATACTTGGGCTATGTCTGCATGGCTCGTGACTGCATACAGATTTGACGTTTCTAAATAATGATCTCATATACTTCTCTGGCGTGACTCATATGCACCACTGCTCTAGCAAACATGCTGGCAACACACGTTGTGACTGACAGGGCTCAAAGGCCTTTGACCGGGGCAGTGGCTTGAAGCTCAGAACTTGGCACCAGATTCCTCCAGAACAAAGCCGTTCGGATTGCTAGCGGCTTGAAACACTCGGTGTTGTCGGACTGGTGTCAGGGCCATTGCCGCACAGGTCCCGCAAGAAGGCAACACAATGCCCCGATGCTGTGGCGCCCCTTGTCGTGCGGCAAGCCAGCGGCAAGTCAGAGGCAAGTCAGAGGCCAATGGCAGCGTGAAAACATGCCAGCCA